GGCCATGGTGCCCAGATACTTGGTCAAACATGTTAGATGTCTTTGTGAAGGTGTTTTTGAGTAAGGTTAACATTTAAGTTGGTGGATTTTGAGTAAAGCAAATTGCCCTTTATCATGAAAGTGGACCTCATGGAACCAATTGAAGGCCTTAATAGAAAAAGACTGACCTCCCAGGAGGAGGAGGGAGCTCTGTCAGCAGACTGCCTCGGACTTGAACTGCAACATCAGCTTTTCTGGGTATCCAGCCTGCTGGCCTAACCTGCAGATTTCGGTTTTGTCAGCCTCCCTCTATAACCTCATGAGCCAATTTCTTAAAATAAATCTAGCGTACTATAAATACAAATATAGTACCATGTGTATAATTACAAATATACACATACACATCCTATTGGTTCTGCTTTTCTGGAGCACCCTGACAAATATAGGATTCTTTGTATTGCCTTTTGAACTAGTGGGCTGTGCTCTCAACCTTCCATTATGTAAAGTGTTTGTTTTTCACTTCCTGGTTATCCATGAAAACACTAGGCTTACATTTAGTGAAATATTCCTATTTCCTTTATAGACTTTGTCTTCATTAACTATCCTTATAGCCACCATGTATATTGCTCTCTGAGCTTCAAATTTCTTGTGTAAAAATATGAAAAGTGGGTGGATACTCTCTTACTTGTTTCTGCTTTACTTACTGGGTCATTTGGTACAAGAATTAATGATAATTTGTGTTAAGTTTTATATTGTCTGTAACTTCCAAATACTTTAGCATATAGATCACAATATTTATAGGTTTAACTTTGAAACACCAATCAGGTATCTTCACTCTAGGTTTATTAACATTAGAGTTGTTACAAATAATTGGTGAAACGCGCAATATTGAAAATATATGGATTGCGCTGAAACCGGTTTGGCTCAGTGGATAGAGCTTCGGCCTGCGAACTGAAAGGTCCCAGGTTCGATTTCAGTCAAAGGCATGTACCTTGGTTGCAGGCACAGCCTCGGTAGGGGGTGTGCAAGAGACAGCTGATTGATGATCTCTCATCAATGTTTCTGGCTCTCTATCCCTCTCTCTTCCTCTCTGTGAAAAATCAATAAAATATATTAAAAAAAGAAAAGAAAAGAAAATATATGGATTGTCCTTAGAAATATTTTCTCTTAATGGACTTTGAGTCAGACTAGGCCAGCAAGCTAATAGCTTTTGGAGTAACACCTAACTCTAGTACTCATTTGGTACTGTTTTCTGATATGTAGGATTCCGTTATTGAGTGATTCAATTAGGAGGTTAGACACATTCTATCATAGAATACTATCACAAACTGCTTTAGGTACACCTTCATGGAGGGGAGCTGTCGGAATATCTTAAGGTCAGACATCTGGGTTTTTACTGAGCTAACATGATAAAGCTGTGGGTTTGTTTTTTCATCTTCCTGCTCATCGATGTTTTCGTATGCAACAAAAAGCCCTCAATCATTTAGAATCTTTGGAGACCTGCAATGTTTACCTACAAATGCTTGGTCATTGTGAATTTCAGTTTGGCTTACATAAGTTTGCAACAAGAACCTAACATATTCCCTGCCACACAGTAGGCATTAAAAAATTATCCCTCTTACTGTCTTAAGTCAGTGAACTGGCCTTGGTTCTGGGGAAAGAAAAAGAAAGCTGAAGTTATCATTCATGGTTTTAAAGCTGCCAGGATCCTTCTTTCAGAGGATGGTTTATTGCCAATTTTTTTTTTTTTTAATTTTTTTTTTTAAGACGTGGACTATCTTGTCCATGCTTTCTCGGTCTCAATTTAGAGTCTCTGTAGCAGAGCCACTAAAATCATGTGAAGGTGAGTTGGAATTCTACCAGGGAAGCTTATGGTAAGTGAGCTTGGCTGGTCTCCAAGAGCACGCTGTGCCAAGCCATCATCTGAAACGCAGCATGCTAGAACCTGGGACATTGTCCATCTTTGATGTGTCAAGAAGATGAAGCGGAACCCAGACGACAGGCGGAACTGAGACCTCGTGGGAGCACTGTGGGAGATTCCTTCCAGTCAATATTTACAGAAAATTCTGAATTTATTTTGACCTGCATTGATTAAAGAAAATGTGTCATAGGAAGTGAAGGAAATAAGTTTTTACTCCTTATTTAAAAAAAAAAAAAAAGTTGCTGCTGTTTTGAAAAATTGTTAGAACACTAGCTACCTGAAAGGTGAAAAAGAATGATTCTAGTTGAAATCTTATAAGAAGCTAATTTTGACTTTGTTTTTCATAGCCTTGGATTACTGGGTGAGGAATGTCATTGCTACTGCATTTGTAAACTTGTTACCCCTGAAAGCCTGCCTCTGCCTCAAAGTGAGGGACAAGGCCTTGTTTTGTTTCCTGACAAAGGAACAGGAAAATATAACTTGCTGGCCTTCAAACAAGCAATCTTAAATTTAAACATCCTTTTGTTTGCTTTTCTCAGTCAAATAACACAGGAACCATGTGAAGGTGACTGAACATCATATGTATTTTTTGATGATGTTGAATATGAAGGACCAGGATGCTCTTGCCCTTTAGAGTTTTTGCATTGCCTTAATATAATGAGGGGGCTCTGATTATTATCTGAGTATCCATAGTTTGCAAAGCAGTTATGAGAACATAAATAAAATGGTAGAACAATTGTAAATATATTTAAAGAATGAAGACCTATTGATGAAACCCGCAGTTTTTACCAAGGTCAGCTTACTGGCATGTCTGAGGTTCTTCCTGGTCAAGGCCAAACAGAGCATGCGGGTGCTGAGCCACTGCGTGCTGACAGTGCACAGCTTTGGACACAGATAGGGATTTGCAACACCGTATCCATGACAGTGATTTAACTCAAGGAAATCTCATCTTGTATAGGTGCCGGTTAATGAAAATTGGTTTTTAAACACTTAAAATTCAATGCCTTTAGGAGATTGCCTGCAATTATTTATAGGAATTTAGTCAGTGTATTGGGGCACATTCAATAACAAATATTGCCTTGATATACAACTTATAGAATCATAATCTTTTATAAAATTTCAGTTGTAACAGTCTTTAATTTTTTTTTTTTTACATGAAACATTCAGATAGTTCCTCCAACATGCTCTCTCAATGGAAGCTGTATTTAAGAGGGGCATTAGGCCTTACCATCTTGCTACTCTGGCAATGATTTAACAAAGCAGTTGTTACAGAAAAGGTGGAAAGTCTTTGTGGTACATATTTTATGAATAATATAGTTTAGGGAACAGAGTTGCTTTCACTGTTTCTCTGTAAGATACAGCTGATGCTTAATAAAATCTAGCCTGGAAGTAGCCCATTGTTATATGGAGAGTTGTTTCTGAAATTGTTACCAACTTATCTTGGTTTTGAAATTTTAACTTCTTACTTAAGATGGCATGAGACATTGACCACTGCTTTCTTCTTGCCATAGACAGAAGGGAATCACTCTTTTGTCACCACAGGCAATACACCGTACAATGGATGGGCCTTAAAGTGGTGGCACTCCATGCACATATCCTGTATATCATTGGCTTTTCTTCACGTCATTCAGTCATTTGCTTTAGCATTTCCAGAATCTGTGGCTTTGTAGAAGGTCCTCTCTAGTCCGTTAAACATTGGCTCATATATTTTTTTAGCACTCTTAGAATTTTTTGTTCTTAATAATTTGAATTTAACGTTTGTTAATGATGTGAAATAGGGATATTTTCAGGTGGATATCTCATTCTTTCCCATTTAGGAATGTGATGTTGTGGTGTTTATTATGGTAGAGAAAAAGCAAGTAGCCTGAAAACATTTTGAAAGTCGAGAAGAAAAACAATTCCGGTACAGATCCTATAAATGACATGATTTTGAGACATATATACCATTAGGAATCACACTACGTCTGCTTCTGTATATGCAATGTGTATTCCTGGTTTATAGGTTGTCATATATAGTACACAAGAGTTGCCAATTTGTCGTTAATGTGTGTGTAAAGCACACTTGGACTGTCAGAGCTGGCTTTGTAGGCAGTGGACATGATTTCTCCTCGGACCTTCTGTTCTGCTTTCTATTTTTATTGTAGCTTTTTGTGATATTAAAAAACAACTCATTCCTAGTTTTTAGAATTTTGGGAGACAATACAGAATTTTTAAGACATAGTTCATGAACTTAATAATTATTGAATTTAATTGAAAAAATGTCAGTTTTTATTATTTCTATTAATTGGACTTGATGAATAAGTTCCTTTCTTTTCAATTAAGCAAGGGATTGATTACTTATTTTCAGTTACTTTTCAAGTAAAACAAATATTTCAGCAGAAACAGATTTTCAAATTTCTTATGACTATGTCTAAAGACCACATTCAGTCTTTCGAATTGTTTAGGTAGGAAAGAAAGAGCTGGCAACTTCCTATTTGTCCTATTGCTCTTTAGTAAGGTTTTGATAGCCATTACATAGACAAGTTCAACGAGAATTTAAATCTACATGCAAGTGAAATGAGAGATGACAAATGAGGGCTTACCACGCATAATTCTAATACAGTATAGAATAGAAATCAATTTCTAATCGATTCTGTGATTGAAAAACAATTATGATGCTGACAACCTACAATGTTTGGGCTTGTTTAAGTCATGCTGTGAAATGGGTTCAGTGTGGGTGTTTGCTTAGATAGTTTCACAATGTTTTGCCTTAGTTGTATCAGGAGCCAGCGTTGCAGCTCGTATGTATACTCCGATTCTATAAAAAGAAATTAATGTTGCCATCCAAATAATGTTTTCTGTGGTTCCTGTGGTTTCTGAAATTGTTAAAAGTGGTAGAATGACTCATACATTTTTAAAATTACTGAGATATGTTTATTCTCATTCATTCTTCCTCTTAACATCTCAATTGATTTTTTTTAAAACAAAAGTTACTTAGATGAAATTCATGATGCAAAATTTTTAACTTAATGTACGTTTAGACATTTAAATTTTTCTTTTTTTGTAATTAGGAAAGCCATCCTTTTGGGATTATCATCTTTTTGTTGATCTTCTCCTACAGGTTTTCAGCACATACTCCAATGAAGACTATGACAGGAGAAATGATGAAGTTGACCCTGTGGCTGCTTCAGCTGAGTACGAACTTGAAAAGCGTGTAGAAAAGTTGGAACTTTTCCCAGTGGAACTGGAAAAAGGTATATGAGCTCTACATCATTTGTGATATTATTATATTCCTATACTAATAATACAGAATTGACTTTATTTTTCCCAAGTATAGCTGTTTTCTCCCCTAAGGATTGGGTCAAATTTTAATTCTCATGCAGGAGTTTATTGAATTTCAAAACTAGTTGATATAAATTCTCTATAGATGGTGGATTGAAAGATTCTCTCTAGCTGTCCACTACCAACTAGAACTTATCAACTTTAGTTGTCTGGGTAGTGGTTAGGAGTAGGGAGGACTGAATGAGGCCTGATGCTTGGTTGGTAATTCTGCAAAGGGCTGGCGAGGTGAGAGCTCAGAGAGAGCTGCTGGAGAGTGGGGGGCAGGTGGTGACTTTTTTGTTTGTTTGTTTTTTTTGTTTTTTGTGGAGGAAGAGTGGTCATGGTTAGACTCTGAATATGGTACATATGAGGAGTACTGGGCTTTCAGAAAATTATGGATTTTTGAAACAAAGGCAATGGACCACTCTTCATCTCTGAGGAGAAAGAGCTAATGGAGAGCAGGCAGACGGGGGAGCAGAGGGACTTCCTGCTGAATTATCTTCCTGGAATCACAGTCCACCTATTGCAGTAACTGGGGACTCACAGGACCAGAGGCCGCCATGTTTATTGTCATGTAAGTCAGGAAGCTGAGAATTAGACTCTGACCAATGAACAGAAGACTGTCACATCTCAAAGTTTTAGGAAAAAGCCCAATAGATGACAACTTGAATAACAGAAAGAAAGCAAAAAAAAAACAAACGAAAAAAAAAAAGTAAATAAGAATATTCAAGTATGGCTTTAATCAAATTAACAATAACACAAAAATATAATGATTTTTAAAAATAAAAATGTCAGTAGAGGAATTGAAGAGGAAATGATGACTTTGTTGAGATTAAATTGGTGACAAAGAAATTCAAGCATAAGAAATGTCCCAAACTAATTCTCAAATGACAGAGCAAAAATCCAAGGAAAATTATAGAGACTCGACATACAAAGAAAAGGAAATGGAAATAAAGGGTGAGAGATATAGAGGAAAATTTCCTAAGCTCAAAAACAACTTGATCCTTGTATTTGCAAGGACTTAGCCAACTGATTGCAAGGACTTAAAGGAAAAGTCCACATCTAAGCACTGGCTGGACAGACAATTTGTAAACAAACTAAAAACAATGTGTTTTTTGTCATTATCTTTCATGGGGCCAATAAAATGGAAACAAAAGTGAATGCCTGTCACTAGGGGAAAGTGGTCGGATAGGTTATTATTCTGTCCACCGTGAAATATTACACAATCATTAGAAGGGATTTGAAGCTACTATGTTAAGTTGATACTCAGGACGTATTATTGAATTAGAAAAGTAAGCTGGAGAGAAAAGTAGGTGTCATATGACCTTATTTGTGTAAAGCAAATAGGAAGGAAAAGCAAGCCATATATACACTGTAGTTTTTTATATGTTTCTATCCTTGATGGCAAGACAGAGAAAGTAATGGAAGACACATACCATCTTAACACGAATGGTTATCTGGAACAAGTAAAAACAATCTATATATAAGTAAATGGGAAATTCTAGATACATTGTGATCACATTTATTTAAAATAACATATATGGCTCAGCCAGGAAAAATTCAGCCAGAATGGTCAATCTAGAGTTATATTACTAAATTATTGAACCTCAAAGAATGTTTTTTTGTGAAAGAGGACAACAAAAATTGAATAAGTAATGTAAGTGAAATCAGACAAGCCTCCAAGTGACTAAAAGACAGTAGAGAAGGCTGAGGTGGGTAGGTGGGTGGGAAAAGATTAACCAAAGAACTTGTATTCGTATATGCATAACCCATGGACATAGACAATAGTGTGTTGAAGGCCTGATGAGGGGTTGAGTGTGGTTAGAAGGAGTCAATGGGGGAAAATCGGGGGACACTTCTAATACTTTCAACAATAAAGATAAATTTTCTAAAAAGGCAATAGAACATTCTTTTCTCAGGAAAAGAAGGTTTGAATCAAGAATTTTATTACCCTGCCAATATAAACAAACAAAGCAAACAAATAAAAGAATATATAAGTGTTTGTGTGTATGCTTTTGTGCTTAAAATATTAAATTATATTGTTTAAAGGGGCCACGTTTTAAGGCAGATTAATCACTCAGTAATCAAATTATTACCTTTTTTTTGGATCACAGTAAATAGCTAACTGCAGTAGTAACAAACTATGTTCATGAGCCTTTGGGGGTTCTCATTTGACACCCTTGCTCCCCTGCATTGGAAAAAACTTCTCAAAGGCAAGCATATATGATATGGACTATGTGATAATCAATAAAGAACAAAATTAAAAGGAACAAATAGGCCTCACCAGTTCATTGCAGAGTAGTGTAACACTTAGATTGTTGTATCTTTACCCGTTTTCATAGATGAGGATGGACTTGGCATAAGTATTATTGGAATGGGTGTTGGAGCAGATGCTGGACTTGAAAAGCTGGGGATATTTGTCAAGACAGTAACAGAAGGTGGTGCTGCTCAGCGGGATGGCAGGTAAGCTAGTTGCTGCTTTTGACTACTAAAGTCTAGGAAACTTTTCTGGGAATTTCTTGTTTTTCAGCTTTCTTCTTATGATTATTTAGGACAGAAGGTCAATGTGTCTCATATGTAGAAAATGTTAAAAACTTGATTACTTTCTGACTTGTAGGCAGAATACCTGATGAAAATGGGTGGATAAATCTATTATCTATGTCTAACTTAATATCCATCCATTTATCTATTTACCTAGTAGTAAGTGGGCAGAAACATGGGTGTATATAGTTTAAGAATATGTTCTGTGGAGATCAGCACATACTTTCACCTCAGAAATTTCAAAACATTGGTTGGCTGCCTCCTGCTTGACCCCTACTGGGGATTGAGGCTGAGACCTGGGGCATTGAACCCATGACCAGAAGTTGAACCGGTGACATCTCGGTGCACAGGACAGTACTCAACCAACTGAACCACACTGGCCAGAGCTAGATCTTCTTTATAGTTCCTTTTAACCTCAAAAGGATAAGAGTGTGTATTATACCTTTCTAGCTTGCCTTGGTTTTTAAGTAACTTTTCCTTATTTAAAAGAAACTCTTTTAATTTAATCTCAGATTTGGTCAGACTATTTTCAAGGGATGTTAAAAAATATATAGAAAATTCTTTTCTCCTTCCTTCCTACCCTAGCACAAGAAGCCTTCTTATTGTGATTGCTTTCATCCCTTATGAACATCTCGAACTCTTACCACATTTTAAGTACTTTTATAAATCTGCTGTGGATGTGTATCTCCCATGTCATCCAGTATAGTTGGAAAGTTTTGACTCCGTCTTTGTTCTTTGATATTATGCTCTAGTTTATAAATTTTCTCTTGTCAAGCTTTTCATGTCTGTCTGTATATTTTCAAAGGGTGTTCAATAAATATCTGTTGAATGAGTGAATCCTAGTGCTTCAATCACTTTCAGAATGTTTACTTGGGCCTAACATTTTTCTTTTTATATTTCTTCTCTTCGTACCTTTCCTTCTCCCTCTCCCCTTCTTCTCCTCCCTTCTTCTTTTTTCTTTTCTTTTTTTTCTTTTTCTTCCTTCTTCCTCTTTGTGCAACCTTGCCTCTTATACAGGGTGGCTTGTAATTTAACTGGGTGACATGATAGCTATTTCCACCTTCTGTTTTTATTCTAATTTTATAGTAAAATAATATTAAATATAGTAACCATTAGTTTTTGCTGCCATAAATTTTATGATTGTACACAAAACACATTAACACACTATTTATCCAGTCCTGTTTAATGAACCTATAAAAGCAAAATGCATTTCATAATAACCCAATTGAAAATACCGTATTTTTCGGACCATAAGACGCTCCGGACCATAAGACGCACCAGTTTTTAGAGAAGGGAAATGAAGAAAAAAAGATTCTGAAACAAATAGTGTCCTAAAATATTTTATGTGCATTAAAACCCAACATCACAGTCATAAACACATGTAATCAACCCTGTAAAGTAAACAGCAGCATTTAGAACCATTTTAGAGCCGGGCAAGCACACAGAGACCATACAGAGCCGGGCAAGTAAAAAAACTTTTTTTTTTAAAGTATATGTGTAGGCTATATTTGGACCATAAGATGCAGTATTTATAACCATGGATAAATCTCATACATAGCGTTGAGTGAAGCAAACTAAGTTGTAGAAAAAGAGATTTATGATGAAATTTGAAAACTGGAAATGTACACATATTATGCCTATTGGTGCATATGTGTTATTTGTATTTCAAAACATCAGTAGAAAGGCTAACCATCAAAGTCAGTATGATGGTTACCTAACCTCTGTGGAAGCAGAGAAGGGGATAGGATGAGACAAGTAATAAAGAGGCTTCAGCTTTTCTGTAATAAATTTATTTAGAAAAAAACTGACTCAAATATTGCACAGTGCTAAGATCTGATAAAATTGGATATTGGTGCATGAGTGTTTATTATCTAATTCTCTCTGTATTTCTCTGTGATTGAAATACTTCATTTTGAGTAATTAAAAAAATATATATATATATAGAACATGTATGTAAATTTAAAAGCATGATACACCAAACAACACTCATACTGTATATTGCTCCTAAACAAAATACACACACACACACACACACATCCGCCTTTATGTAAGTATATATATAAATTTGTATACGTGAAGGATTCCCTGCAATTCTTGTTGTTCTTTCTTGGAGAGGAGAGGTGGGACAAGGTATGAAGCCTAAAGGGTATGTAAGATGCATTTGTTATATTTTAAGAAATTTTAAAGACAAAAAAGATATAAATATGTCATACATTAACAGTTATCAACTCATTGTGATAGCAATATGGATGTTGGATAAAGTGAATCCCTTCATTTAGTATTGCCTATTTCTGTTCTTCAAAATAATCTTTTAAAAATATTAAGCATTTGACTAAGATATAGAGCTTATATATAAAAGACAAATTTTGTATTAAGATTCTCTTAAAAAGTAGGTATTTTGTCAACTAATTTATTGTGATGGAAATATATTATTGTAAAAATTAAACATGAATAATTTTTTTCCTCTTCCCAAAGAATACAAGTCAATGATCAGATTGTAGAAGTGGATGGAATCAGCTTGGTGGGAGTCACACAGAATTTTGCTGCAACAGTTCTCAGAAACACCAAGGGCAACGTCAGGTAAACATATGGCTTCAGTCTGTACAATTTCATTACTTGATATTTTGTTTAAATTTTCTATGATTATACTTATAGATATATATAATTATAATGAGAAGTTTAACTAAATGCTAAAATTTTGCCTTTAGTTTTTTTATTTTTCTTTAATTTAACTAATTAGTTCATGCAAATGTAATTTAAAACTAAAAATTATAGTATTCTAGAAAGATATGAAGATAAGGAGTATACAGCATAAATCACTATTGTTAGTTATTAAGCTTTTTTAGTGTGCATTATTGCTAATACAATAAGAATTGCTATGACAATAAAATTTCTAGTTCTGTCCTCAATAAATAAGACATTTGTCCTCAAATCCTCTTAATAAACTCAGTTACATAGTTAAATAAATCAGTTAATAAAGTCTGCTTACCTAAATAATATGTATCATTGAATATATATATACACATATATATACATATATATGTATATATATACACACATATATATGTATATATATATTCAATGATACATATTATTTAGATAAGCAGACTGAATGATTTGGGGTTAATGCTTTAAAAATATTTTTATTGTTTTAAAGAGACAGATAAAATTACACTTTGGTAAACTATTACTTTTCCAACTTTAATAGGATAGAGGGTGCATTCTTTTGAACCTTAAAATTTATATCCAATCTTGGGGTTCTGAAAATGGTAGCTTGGAAAACAAATATACTTAAAAGTAGTCTTGAGTCAACTAAGGTCAAACTTCAAAATTTGTTTATTTGGCCATAGGGTACTTATTTTTAAATATAATATTGCTATATCTTATACTTCTCCAAATATCCTATGAAAGGATTCATAAGGGGACATTATTTAGTATGTGTAATTATGAAAGTGTTTTAGTGTTATCATCAAAATTAAATGGCCAAATGTTCTGAAAATATTGATGAGTTAATTGATCTAAAGAGAGTAAATTATGATTTAATTGCAGCATATTTTATGTTGCAGAGGCATGAGTTTAAGAATTTAGACTTTTTTAAGTTGGAAAGCACCCATTAATACTGAAGGGAATGTTTAAGAAATACAACTTCAATAACTTTTATGTTTATGTTTCAGGAATACCCATAGTTCTGAGAAAGTATGTAAAATAATTGGCAAGAGTACACGTGATTATCTTTCAGGACTGTTGTATATCAGTATACAACTTGGTTTGAAGTTGCCCAATAGAACTTAAAGTGAATTTAAAAGTGAATTATGCATTAAAGTTTGTGGTTACATGAAATCGTAGTCATTCCTTTCTCTTCATAATTCTGCACTGTTATTTCAAGTCTTGTACAGATCACCAAAGATTTCTCAACTGGTCATCCTGATTGCTAATCTCCCTTTTTGAAACTCTCCTTCTCATTCTTATCCCTAATGGACAAATACAATCGCAGTATTTCACATGTATGAAGGGCTATGGGAAAAGGCTATTGACTCATTCTGTGTATCTCTAGTAGTACAAATAAAACCTGTGGGTAGAAATAGTGATTCTGCATCCATCATGTTCCTCTCTTCAGAAACCTTCAATGGCCCTCCACTCTGGGCAGAATCTAAGTTCTCTATCCTGGTATTAAAAATCTTTCATCACCATATCTTGTCATTTATCTCTTTCTATTTTCATGGTCTGGTTCAGTCAATACTAGTGTAGTCATTATCTTTCGAATATAACTTGTGAATATTTTTGTGTGCCTTTCTCTCTGCCATATTTTTCTGTTCAAAATACTGTTTAGAACCTAGTTATCTTAAAGATCGTATTTCAGATTCTTTCCTCTCCAAGAAGTACCCCTTCACCTCATGGCTCCCTGGTTATCTCTTCTTCCTGGTGCTCTAACCTTTCATTCCATTTTTTTTTTTTTTTTTTACCTTGAGATGATAGCACATTCTCCTTTCCTCTTCTAAAGGCATATATCTTATTTCCTAGCTCTCTCTGCAAAAATCTTGATATCAAAAGGGGATCTTTAGGGTCCTTTGTTCCCCCAAATTATCTAACCCTGGGTCTCAATTACATCTTTTCTCAACTTTAACTTATTAAAAATAATATTTTAATCCATTGAATATATTTTATGCAGCAGTTCTTCATAAGGTATTAATATAAAATCAGGATCCAAAAATTAGATCTGTAGTTTTAATGAATGGTTTTAAACTGAGGTTTTAAAATAGGTATGGTTCTATATTTCTTATTCATTGATAACTTAGCTGCCACATTCATTGTTTACTAAAATTTATTTTTAAAGGGTATATAAAAATTACTAAATGTAGTTAGTATTTTTCTAACTACAAAGCATATATCTAGGATGAATTTGTTTATTTATATACCTCTGTATAATATGCAGAACAATTCAATCCAGAACGGCTCTAGATGTAGCATGCTACATCATATGTAGTACACAGCACATTTACTATATACTCCTTTGACTTTGACTTTAAATTTCTACTACTCAGTATGTCTTTATTATATATGTCAATGTTAAAGAAACGTCGTAACAATTATTTAAAAACTTCTAATTGCCTGGCCTACATGGCTCAGTGGTTGAGCATTGACCTATGAATCAGGAAGTCACAGTTCAATTCTCAGTCAGGGCACATGCCTCGATTGCAAGCTCCATCCCCAGTGTGGGGCATGCAGAAGGCAGCCAATCAACGATTGTCTGTTGACATTGATGTTTCTATTTCTCTCTCTCTCTCTTTTCCTCTCTGAAATCAATATAAAATATATATTTTAAAAACTTCAATTTGAAAAAAACCTATAATCTTCTTGGTGGTTGATTTGTTTTGAAAATATTGTTAAAATAAAGTGAAAAAGCAATAGAAAGAATGTAACTTACAAAATGTAATATAGTTAGAAAGTTAAAGTTTTGTTCTCATTGTCAGATCCTTTCTTTGGTAAAAATAAACATTTTTTGTATGAAAATAATTTAAATAGTTTAGATTCAGTTCATTTGAATCAGCAGATTTATCTCCTATTCACAATTGACTTTTATATTAAAACATACTAAAATTATGCTTCACTTGGAAATCCTAAAAAGACCCTCATATTTGTTGGCCAAAAAAAACCCCCACAAAACTATTTTAAACTCAAAATTATTAATTTATTAGAAAAAATAATAGGTTGTAGTTCAATCACTGGTTGTATATCTATGGAAAGAAGACAGAAATCACAAGATATTCACAGTTTGATTCAAGATTGTATAAAACTACCTTAAATTTATGCTCAGATATAGAATTTAGCCTTCTGTGATAGCATTTTGCCAGCGATAGTCCAAATTTGGTTCAATATCTTGTGTTATATCTTTGTGGGCAAGAGAAAAATGTGTTTTGAATTATGAGATAGGTAAAAAGAATAGGTGCTAATTCTGTTACCATATCAAAATCAGAATGAGGCATTAAAAGAAAAATCATTACATACCAATGCTTTTCGTGAACTTAGATACAGAAATCCTTAACAGAACTTTAGCACATTGAAATCAGGAAGTTATACAAGTATGATAATTTATGGCCAAGTGACATCTTTGGAATGCATGGTTGATTTAATGTTTGAAATTCAACCTACGGAATTTCATAAGGGAAATTCCTCAATGTGATAACTAGCAGCCCAAGTGAACTGACAGCTAATATTACATTTAATGATGAAAGACCAAACGCTTTCCCCTTATACTAGGATAATGCAAATATGCCCACTGTCTCCACTTCTATTCAAGTTGTCCTGGAGGTCATAGCTTATTCAGTGAAGCAAGAATAAGAAATGGAAAACATGTAGATTTTACAAGGAAGAAGTAAGACTTTGTTCACAGACAACATGGTCATCCCTGTAGAAAATTCTATGGAATCTACAAAAAATGCTACTAGAACTGATAAGTGAGTCAAGCAAGGTTATAGGAGATAGGTTGTTGTATAGAAATTACCAATTCTACTTCTATAGACTAACATTAGCAAAGAATTGAAAGTTCAAATAATAGCATTCATAATAACAGCAAAAACACTTAAGGATAGTCTGGCATAATACACTGAATATATCAGCAAAATTCTGAGAAAATAAAGACAACTTAAATGAGGGAAGAAATACACTCCATGTTATGGGTCAGAATACTCAATATTGTTAAGACTTCAATTTCCCCCCCCAATCTATAGATTGAGCACAGTCTCAACAAAAATCTCAGAAGGCTCCTTTCTCTGGTAGAAATAAACATTTTTTAAAAAGAACAAAGTAGGGCCGAAACCGGTTTGGCTCAGTGGTAGAGCGTCGGTCTGCGGACTGAAAGGTCCCAGGTTCGATTCTGGACAAGGGCCTGTACCTGGGCTGCGGGCACATCCCCAGTAGGGGATATGCAAGAGGCAGCTGGTCGATGTTTCTCTCTTATCGACATTTCTAGCTCTCTATATCTCTCTCTTCCTCTCTGTAAAAAATCAATAAAATATATTAAAAAAAAAAAAAAAAAGAACAAAGAAGGGTATTTTTGCTGCCTGACAGCTGCACTAATCACAGCAGTCTGGTTTAGGCATAATGACAGAAGTATAGATTAATGGAATAGAATAGGGAGTTTCAATATAGACCTGCATAGACATAAACCATTGGTTTTTGACTAATGCCCCAAGGTAATTTAGTGGGGGAAATTATAATATTTTGAAAAATTGGTGCTGAAAGAATTGGATAACTACATTAGAAAAAGCAAAGAACAAAATTTGGCCTTCCTTGCACAGTCCATACAAAAATAAACTCAAAAATTGATCATAGACTAAAGTGCAGCAGCTAAAACTAAAATTTATAGAAAACAGGCAAAAATCTCAATGATCTTGGATTAGTCAAGGATCTTTTAAGACATAAAAGAACGAAATGGTAAGCTCATAAAAAATTTAAACATTTGTTTTGAAAATACTGTTAAGAAAGTGAAAAGGCAATCTAAAGACTGAATATTTGCAAAACATTTATCTGATAAAAGACTGTTATTTAGAAGACATGAAGAATTCTTACAGTTCATTAAG